ACATATTTAGCAGTAGATTCTATGTCGTCCCTGTACTCCAACACAGTCCAACTTACAAGCTGTCATTTCTGTCTGGCTTCCGGGGCCCCATTGTGTGGAAAACAAGAACAGTTCCATTGTCTCTACAACAAGCATGTCGTAGGAGTCGACTAACTAAGGGCTTCCTTCTAAGGTGCAGTGCATCTGCATAAGAGGCAAGGGACTAACTGGCTGCATACAAATAAGTTAGATCTGTAAAACAGATGTGCATGGTACAGGAACAAGACAAAAAGTCCAGGAGTGGACGAACGACCAGAAGTTTCTGCCGGAGTTTACAGCCGGTGAAGACGAAGAAGAAACAAGACAAGATGTCAAGTGACCTCCCCTGGACAAGTGTGTCAGTGGGTGTCTAAGTTTACGGGTTGTGTTGAGGGGCTGAGCAAACTAGGACGTCCAAGAAAAAATATAAGGCAAATGTGGATGAGAAAAGCCAAAGATACTGGATTGGATTTCATTCATAATATCCAAGTGATCGCACGTGATATAACGGAATGAAGGAATTACCCACGAGCCCTATGTGCCACAACAGGACAATAATGATGAATGTCGTGTCTAGGTGAATGATCTGTTCTCTAATCCAGTAAGTAAACGAGCTAGTGTGTCCTTGACCGGCTAAGTTGCTATATCAGACAACGAAGAATACAGGTATTGTCGCCTTTCCAGAGTTTGTCACTGTCAGCCGTTGCAAATACGCTTCGTAATGCCGGGCTGCCGTGTTCGATCTTGCTGCTGACAGTTTGTCTTGTGCTGGTTTCGACAGCAGTACCGAGAGCCGACCGTTAAGTCGATCTGGCAAACTACTGAACGTAAAACGTGCCTACAAAAGCCACAACAGCAACAACAACAACAACAAAAATGCTGGGGTTGGTTCTGCAACGTTCTGTAAAGGATACACAACTAACGTTTACAGAGTTTGTAAAAAAGTAAAGATCCCTTATTACGCCTAAGGCACATCGGGTATACGGGCAGAGCGTTCCATATTTTTACAGACCAATCGGCACTGGGTGGGTAATGTGGTCAGCATTACGCCGGCCGTCTTTACTTTCCCAGGACAGCCATCCTGGTACCCATTTTAGGCTGGGTCGACCTGCGACGCCCCATACCATGATAAAATCCAAGCACTACAGAGTTTGGGCAATTACTAAAACGTGAGTCAAATCCCTGCACAAGTGTTAGCAAGTGGAAGTAACCCAACTCATAGCTCATAACGCGTACCTTAGTAAGCAAGGTTTGTTTTGAGGTTTTGAACAACGGATAAACATCACGACACACGGGTAGTAACCCATAAGTGCTTCGTTCTTCTCCTAACTTGGGTCTGAGTCCGAAGAAGCTCAGCACAGTGGACGAGCTCTGTAGCACCGGCGAGGTTCCTGAAATACTTTGGGTAGGCTTTTAGTTCCAAATGTTTTCAGGGCAGCGCTGTAAGGCTATTCTTTTCGATTTCCAACTGCCAAGGGATTTTTTAAGTGGGCAATAATACACAACGGCGTCTGATCTGACTACCCAGAGACCACGGGGAATTACTTGAGGTTCCAGTCCATGTGAACAAATCTCAGCCTCTGACGGGGATTAAACCCGAAACCTCTAGCACTCGAGGCGGAACCTTTGCCTCGAGACCATACATCCCCCTGAGTAAGCAAGGTTTTCCGCCTTATTACTCAAAAGATCAGAGGTACGTGTGAGAATAAAAGCCAACAGTTCTTGACACAATAAAACTACAAATGACAGGGCTGGAACCTAATAGCTTTTGAAATTAAAGTAAACACACAAGCTCGCAACCATCACCAAATGTCTAAGAAAACCTTCTTGTTTGTTCGTACTTTAACAAGTGATTGGCATACTGAGTTGTGGTTTAAAGTAAGGCTTCGATATCGACGCTGCTTGACACAACACATTCGATTTCAGCAAACGCGCAAGTTGTGGCGATAACGACTAGTTTTTCGAGAGCAATAGCTATATTCTCTCCGACCCCTCCGTGCCCCCCCCCCCCCCCCCGCCACCCATAATGGGGCCATGGAACCTATAAACAACAGAAAAGTAAAATCTGCGACTGAAGAGTTATTGGTTTTTGTAGTTGAGGTGGGGGTGGGGGAAGGGGAGATTCGATAGTAAAATAAAAGTCATTAACTGATCTTGTTAGGCTGTTCCTTGTCCTGAGGCGGTCATGTTTACCGGATTAGTCCGGGGACTAGGACTATGCAGCGGTCAGACCCAGGGGCGACAAGCTGGTCGACACCGTCCAGGGTAAGCGCAGGACGACGGTGTGTATAAAAGGGCCGCCCTATAGATGCAGAAACCACTGATTGTTTAGTCAACAACTCTGACCACTCGGCCAGTCTCCATACACACACTGTAAGTAGACCACGTTAGCTATTTTCAAACAGTTACTAACTTGGGTACCTATTAACTCGCTATACGTTGACTTGTGTTTCTATTAGCCTTGTCTATTCGTCTTTGTTTTCTTTGACTTTTTTTTCGATTGTAATGTACATGCACTGCTAGACAAGTTTCCGTGTTTTTCAGTTACTTTATTTCTAGCTGAATGTAGCTTTATATTCTCGTCTAGTTCTATACAGCTTTACACTCCCTCTAGTTCTATACAGCTTTACACTCGCCTCTAGTTCTATACAGCTTTACTCTCGCCTCTAGTTCTATGCAGCTTTATACTCACCTCTAGTTCTATACAGCTTTACACTCACCTCTAGTTCTATGCAGCTGTACACTCCCCTTTAGTTCTATACAGCTTTACACTCGCCTCTAGTTCTATAAAGCTGTACACTCGCCTCTAGTTCTATACAGCTGTACACTCCCCTTTAGTTCTATACAGCTTTACAGTCGCCTCTAGTTCTATACAGCTTCACACTCACCTCTAGTTCTATGCAGCTGTACACTCCTCTTTAGTTCTATACAGCTTTACACTCGCCTCTAGTTCTATAAAGCTGTACACTCGCCTCTAGTTCTATACAGCTGTAGACTCCCCTTTAGTTCTATACAGCTTTACAGTCGCCTCTAGTTCTATACAGCTTCACACTCGCCTCTAGTTCTATACAGCTGTACACTCGCCTCTAGTTCTATACAGCTTCACACTCGCCTCTAGTTATATACTGCTTTACACTCACCTCTAGTTCTATGCAGCTGTACACTGGCCTCTAAATCTATACAGCTGTACACTCGCCTCTAGTTCTCTACAGCTTCACACTCCCTTGAAGGTCTCTACAGCTTTACACTCCCCTGAAGTTCTATACAGCTTTACACTCACCTGAAGGTCTGTACAGCTTTACACTCGCCTCTAGTTCTATACAGATTTACACTCGCCTGAAGGTCTGTACAGCTTTACACTCGCCTCTAGTTCTTTACAGCTTTACACTCGCCTGAAGGTCTGTACAGTTTCAAGTATCTGTTCGATATATGCTATAGATAAGACTTTAAAGTTAATTGCCTATCACATAAAGATCCAAGTTATGCTACAGATCACAGATTGTGGAGAGGAATAATCGTCCACGCCAGTCGGCAAGGCACTTGATGATTTAATAAAGAATGTAAATCTATTTAAGAATCGAAACAACAACAAAGTTAAAAAAAAAAAAAACTATATAAATAAGAAAAGAAAAAAGAAACCAGACGGCTGAGGTTGCTTTTGTAAATGATATCAGGGAGCTATGTTAACCAGCAGTTGGGAGCGGTTGTTGTAACAGTACTGACAACCTGTAACATTCCTCTTAGTTACTCCGTCACAAGACCCTTGGTGTGACTACAGTTACGCATTCACCCACCCGCCTTATGTCCTCAGTTGCGTACTCTTTACCCTCCTTCACCCTTCTTTCTGTGCTAACTCGTCACACACACACTCTTCTCTGTCTCACACCGTCATTGACACCCTTCTTTCTGTGCTAACTCGTCACACACACACACTCTTCTCTGTCTCACACCGTCTTTGACACCCTTCTTTCTGTGCTAACTCGTCACACACACACTTCTCTGTCTCACACCGTCATTGTCACCCTTCTTTCTGTGCTAACTCGTCACACACACACACACTCTTCTCTGTCTCAGTCCGTCATTGACACCCTTCTTTCTGTGCTAACTCGTCAGACACACACACTCTTCTCTGTCTCACACCGTCATTGACACCCTTCTTTCTGTGCTAACTCGTCACACACACACACTCTTCTCTGTCTCACACCGTCATTGACACCCTTCTTTCTGTGCTAACTCGTCACACACACACACTCTTCTCTGTCTCACACCGTCATTGACACCCTTCTTTCTGTGCTAACTCGTCACACACACACACTCTTCTCTGTCTCACACCGTCATTGACACCCTTCTTTCTGTGCTAACTCGTCACGTCACACACACACTCTTCTCTGTCTCACACCGTCATTGACACCCTTCTTTCTGTGCTAACTCGTCACACACACACTCTTCTCTGTCTCACACCGTCATTGACACCCTTCTTTCTGTGCTAACTCGTCACACACACACACTCTTCTCTGTCTCACACCGTCATTGACACCCTTCTTTCTGTGCTAACTCGTCACACACACACTCTTCTCTGTCTCACACCGTCATTGACACCCTTCTTTCTGTGCTAATTTGTCACACACACACTCTTCTCTGTCTCACACCGTCTTTGAACCCTTCTTTCTGTGCTAACTCGTCACACACACACTCTTCTCTGTCTCACACCGTCTTTGACACCCTTCTTTCTGTGCTAACTCGTCACACACACACACTCTTTTCTGTCTCACATCGTCTTTGACACCCTTCTCTCTGTCCTGACTCGTCACACACTCTCTTCTCTGTGCTAACCTGTCATCCGATTCTCTTCTCTATCCTGATCTCGTCACTCACATCCTCTTGCCTGTCATCTTGCCACTCACGCCCTCCTTTGTCCTAGTCTCGTCCCTCACTGTCCTCACCTCCTCACTCACCTCCTCCCTGCCTCCCTGTATCCACAGATCATGTACAAGGCAGTCGTCGCCCTCCTCCTGGTAGCCACTCTCTCTATGACTGCTGAAGCTTTCATTGGTGGCTATGGGATTGGTTTCCCTGGATACGGCCTTGGCCTTGGTAAATATGGATTCGGTGGATATGGATTCGGTGGATATGGACTCGGCGCTATGGGATATGGCGGACTTGGATACGGACTTGGTGGCTATGGATATGGTCTGGGTGGCATTGGAAATGGTCTGGGTTTCGGCTATGGTGGAATTTATGGTAAGTTTCTTCAATGTTTATGGTTCTGATAATGTTTTACCAGTCGCGAGAGAAAGAGAAAGAGAGAAAGAGAGAGAGAGAGAGAGAGAGAGAGAGAGGGGGGGGGGGGGAGAAAAAAAAAGAGACAGTGAGAGGGTGTTAGAGAGAGGGGAGGGGGACAGATTGTAAACACGCACTGACAAAGTTCAGAGAATGCCACAATGGCTAGCACATGCAGAAGCCGAAACAGTGGCCACGCGTATTATTTTTTAGAAAAAGTGAGTCGGGGATGGTCATCAGGTTCGCGTGGTCAGTCTGGCCTGAACTAATGCATCTTATTCTTGACTCTTTTATCCTCCGATAGAATGTAGCTTCTTAACCATCTGATGCCAAATCGTTCTATCCTTTGCCATTACATGCCGCTTACCCCCATACCCTTCCTATGTTTGAAACTTCACTTACTAATTCTCGTTACCTTGTGTTTTCTGTCTGCCGTTATTTATATGCCCTTGTGGATTCCACAGTTTAAAGCCATTATAATTATATTTCTATCAGTTTCTCAGTTTGTCCTATCCAACGTCAACGTCTTTTTCTCACCTCTTGATTCACTTGAATTTGTTTAGTTCTCTCACAAAGCTCAACATTACTGAGGCTTATACTGGGCACCAGGAAATGTTTTGATGTCAAGGCGGCCGAGATGTCATCGACTACACGCCGCAAACGACTGGTGTGTACAAATATGTGACTAACAGCATACACTCCCAGTACAACAGAAGACGTGAGGACATGTCCTAGAGTTGACTGACAAAACCATCTGGACACAAAGCCGGCCCAGAGGAAGACTCGGACAACCATGGCCAGGCAGCATATCTCTGTTCTTCTTTTTTTTTGTGTTCACCAGCTGTAAACTTTGGTGGAAAGTTCTGGTTGTTCGTCCACTTGTGGAAGGCAGTCCTGTTCCATAACCTGACTGTTGCGTATGCATCCGTTTGACAAATCTGACACATTTGTTTGCAGACTGTTGGTTCCTTGCCTCTTAGACAGATGCACACCGACTTCGAAGAAAGCTCCCACTTATTCGACTCTTACGACATGCTTTTGGGTAGCAGTGGGTCTATTCTTGTTGTCCCTCTAACAGGGCCCAGGAACCCACACGGGGAGGTACATCAGTTAAACACCGAGATAACGCAGTAAGAGCGGTACATCCGGCTTTGGAACCTAAACCCAGCGTCTCTTCGCCCTCCTCCACCTCCCCCCCCCCCAAAAAAAAAACCAATGTTAGTTGCGTAACCTTTACAGGGCGTTGCAGAACAAACCCCAGCATTTTGTGACTGTTGTGGTTTCTCAAGGCAAATTTTAAGCTCAGTAGTTTGCCATTGCCACTGAACGCGCAGCTGTCGTTCCCATTGTCAAAACCAAATCAAGACAAATCGGCCGCAGCTGGGATCGAACCCGGCACCCCGGGATTACGAAGCTCGTTCGCAATGCCTAAGCCACAGACGTCGACATAGCCCTCTCATTGTTTCAAGAATGAATAAGTGCTAAGGTCAAAGGTTAGACAGTATTGTATTCAATATTTATGCATGACTACTATCATGTGGCATGAAATAACAACAGATGTTTCTGTCAACAGGAAAAGGGCTGTACTACTAAACAGTATCCTTACACAAGCAAGGTCATCTAAACATGTTGAGTCCATTCAATTTCTGTCAGTGCTGATGAGGTCAAGGTGTCGGAACTACACAAGCAGGCACCAGTACGGCCCTGGCAGATATGCCATGATGTTGACTTAATCAATAAAAAAAAAATATTAATTGTTTCACGTCGTTTGTTTTTCTCTTATGGGATTGGCAGAAGCATTGTTTAGGGCACGATATTCTGTGTTTTATGTATGATGTTCTGTGTTTTATGTACGATGTTCTGTGTTTTATGTACGATATTCTGTGTTTTATGTACGATGTTCTGTATTTTATGTATGATGTGCACTTTTCGTGTACGATGTTCTGTGTTTTATGTATGATGTTCACTTTTCGTGTACGATGTTCTGTGTTTTGTGTACAATGTTCTGTGTTTTGTGTACAATGTTCTGTGTTTTATGTATAATGTTCACCTTTCGTGTACGATGTTCTGTGTTTTATGTATGATGTTCACCTTTCGTGTACGATGTTCTGTGTTTTCTGTACGATGTTCTGTGTTTTGTGTACAATGTTCTGAACTTTGTCCACGATCTGATGTGTTTTGTGTACGATGTTCTGTGTTTTGTCCACGATGTTCTGTGTTTTGTGTACGATGTTCTGTGTTTTGTGTACGATGTTATGTGTTACGTGCACGATGTTCTGTGTTTTGTGTACGATGTTCTGTGTTTTGTGCACGATGTTCTGTGCTTCGTGTACGATGTTCTGTGCTTCGTGCACGATATTCTGTATTGTTTGTACGATGTTCTGTGTTTTGTGTACGATGTTCTGTGTACGATGTTCTGTGTTTTGTGTACGATGTTCTGTGTTTTGTGTATGATGTTCTGTGTTTTGTGTAGGATGTTCTGTGTTTTGTGTAGGATGTTCTGTGTTTTGTCCACGATGTTCTGTGTTTTGTGTATGATGTTCTGTGTTTTGTGTATGATGTTCTGTGTTTTGTGTAGGATGTTCTGTGTTTTGTCCACGATGTTCTATGTACTCAATATGGTGTCTACAGTTTAGCTATCTGTTTTAACTGTTTTCTTGTGCCGGCTTCTGCCAAGGCTCTCAGGTGTCAGATAGGGGCAACGGGCATTCGTTAGACGAACAGTATTTCGGATTTTCTCTCACCCACTTTCTGCCTGTAATTCTCATCTCGCTCTCTCCCCTATCTCTATCACTTCATCACTCTTTCTCCCTCTCTCTTCTTCACTCTCCTACCTCTCTGTTACTCTCCGTTCCAAACTCTATTGTCTCTATTTATCTTTTGTTTTCTTTTTTCTTTTGTCGCCTCTCCTATTTTTATTGGCTATAGACTGGACTATAAAGACAGCCACTGCTTACACCAGGCATGAAATTAAGTGGACCCTACAAAACAGCTTGATGATCTGGACTTCGCTGATGATATTTCTCTTCTGCCCCATTCACGGAATCAGATGCAAGATAAATGAAAAATACCTGATGCGAGATCACAACACCTAGATCTGAAAATCCATAGAGGAAAGACAAAGATAATGAGAACAAATCAGGCAAATAGTAACGTGGTTTCTCATAAAGGTATCCCACTCCAAGAGGAGTACACGTATTTGGGCAGTAATGTAGATAAATTGGATAAAGAAATTAACATTAGATGCAGTAAAGCAAACCAAGTATTGGGACAGCTAGCCCCCCTCTTACAGCATAAGACAATCCCAATCAGCACAAAGAGACATCTTATTCAAAGCATATTTATACGAACTCTGTCAGTGCCAGACATGGTCACTCACAACAAACCATAAAAGAAAATTAGTAACCATGGAAATAAGATGTCTGAGAAGAGCTGTAGGAGTGACCATAAGAGATAAGATCAAGAATGAGATCATAAGAGAAAAAGTCGGCACAGAACCAATTCTAAATTACATACAAAGACAGCAAGTGAAATGGTTTGCCCACTTAGAGAGAATGCCTTGTGACACCATACCATACAAAGCATACATGGAAAGAGAAGAAGGGCGTAGAGCACGAGGTAGACCAAGAACAAGATGGAAGGATAACATCAGAGAAACTCTACAACAGCACGATGTGCCTATGGTCGAGGCAGCCAGAAGAGCTAGAAACAGAACCTTATATCTCCCTCGACACCCACAGCGGTAAAAGAGGAAGTGAAGAAGAAGAATGAAGATAAAGATGGGGGAACTGATAGAGATATTTAAAAAAGAGTACAAAAGGTTAGAGGAGCTTTCATAGCACTAGGAAATTTGTGAAGGTCAAAAGTAATTTAAACAATGGCTAAACTGAAAATAATTTTAATTTCAAATCAGTACTGTTGTATGGTTTGGCCACTTGATGCTAATGCAAACCGACCAACTGCCTCTACGAGCATACAACGAACAACACTACTGCCCTAGAGCAAGAGGCAGACCGAGAGTACGATGGATAGACAATATATCAGAGATCCTGAGGCAACACGGACTAACAACAACACATGCAACACACCTGGCCCAGGATAGAAAACTGCGACTCCCCACTACGCTGTGAGGCAATTGTGGACAAGACAAGACAAGACAAGACTGTTGTATGGAGCGCAAACATGGAGAACAACTAAGGCTATTACAAATAATTTACAAACATTCACGTAACTGCGCGGTGACCAGGTGACAAACTTCTTGTGGTCCGAATTCACACTCGGGGGGGGGGGGGGGGGGGGGGGGGGGGGGTAGCCAGAAAAACCACATATTTCCTAGATTTACAGTATTCATCATGGAATTAAGGCTGAACGGTTGCGGTTTCCACAGTACGGAGCCTTAGGGTTTACAACTCATTTTTCTGGATTTTAAAAAACCAAAACAACAACAACCTGATGCCTGCGCAGATTTGAGAGAATTGAATGGTCTGATAGAGTCACTAATGTAAAGCTTTGGGAGATAACTAAACAAGTTCCAGTGAACAAATAGGTAAAGAAACAACGCTAAAGGAAGACCCCCCCCCCCCCACCCCCACCCTTTTCCAACATTGGGATAGCAAAGGATAGAACGACTTGGTGGCCTGAGTTGGTGGAGGGACTATGCTCCATCGGAGTTTGGAAAGGCAGAAGAAGACTGATTCTCCATAGTGGGAAAGTCTGCAGTATCATGACGCCTTGCTCCAAAAGATGTGTGTCATAGAGCCGTCATCATCAACATGTACCTCACAATTAAAAAAAAAAAAAACCACTATTTACAACAATGAATCCTGGTGTTTACTTACACTCCACTCCACTAGCAATGTAACCACTTGCCATTTAACAACCAGCCGATCAGTCCACTAGCCAACCCACTAGCCAATCAGTCCACTTGTCAAACAGTCCACTACCCAACCCACTAGCCAACCAGTCCACTTGTCAAACAGTCCACTACCCA